ACAGCATAAACATTTTAGGCTGCAACCTCCTCCATGGTTCTATCAGCCACAAAACCGTCAGGATGGCTCATGGAGGAGGAATAGGAACGGCAGAAGGCAACCGCACCCATCCTCAGGGCAGGGCTCTGGCCAATCTAAGCCACCCTCTGGGCTGAAACAGGCCTTTTGAAGGTGCGGTCAAGGATGGTGCACCAGATCCCCAACTGGATCCCACCCGCCTTACCTTCTCGTCCCGACTATCCTCTTTCTACCATGCATGGTCCTGTATCACCTCGGACCTTTTGGTGCTCCGCACAGTAGAGAGGGGATACTCCATCCAGTTCTGTGCTCACCCACCCTTCCATCCTCCTTCCCCATCCCTCTTCAGGGACCCTTCTCATGAGTAGCTCCTTATGCAGGAGGTGCAGTCACTCCTATCTCTAGGGGCAGTGAAGGAGGTTCCTCAGGAGTACAGGGGCGAGGGCTTTTACTCCCGGTATTTCCTTATATCAAAAGCCAAAGGCGGCCTCAGGCCCATCCTGGACCTGCAAAAACTCAACAAGTTTGTGAAGAAACCCAAGTTCCACATGATCTCTTTGGCCTCAATCATCCCATCACTGGATCCAGCAGACTGGTATGCCACCCTCAACTTGAGGGACGCATATTTCCATATCACAATCACTCAGCTCCACAGGAAGTACCTAAGGTTTGTGGTGAGTGGTACCCACTACCAGTTTACAGTCCTTCCGTTTGGCCTGTAGGAGCACCTAGAGGCTTCACTAAGTGCATGGCAGTTGACGCGTTCTTGTGCAGTCACCAGGTATAGATGTTTCCGTACCTCGACAACTGGCTGATGAAGGGCCACTCCAGGACTTCGACAACCTGGGTCTCTTTCTAAACAAAGCAAAATCCACTCCGTCCCCTGTCCAGAGGATAGAGTTTATAGGGACAGTACTGGACTCGACCCAAGCTGTGGCCATACCGGCAAGAAGCAAGGTTTCAGACCCTGATAGATACCATTTGAGGCATTGGACAGTTTTCTACCACCACAGCAAGAAACTGCATGAAGTTTCTCAGACACATGTCTGCCTATACCTAGGTGGTGCAGCATGCCAGACTCAGGCTTCAACCTCTTCAGTTGTGGCTTGCGTCATTGTATCACCCAGCCCGGAACAGCTTGGATAGGAACGTGATCCTGCCTCACCCGGTCATGGACTCCCTCATCTGGTGGCTCAACGCTCAGGAGGTGTTCTCAGGGGTCCCCTTCACCAGTCCGCAGCCATCTCTCTCGCTAGTGATGGACGCATCAGACTTGGGCTGGGGAGCTCATCTGGGAGACCGCAGGACTCAGGGTCTCTGGTCTCAGGCGGATCTGGCTCTCTACATCAACGTCAGAGAGCTGAGAATGGTGCATGCCAGACCTTCCGTGCACACTTAATGGGACATTGTGTATCAGATGGACAAGACAACAGCAATGTTCTATATCAACAAATGGGGATGCACGCTCCTCTCCCTTGTGCCAGGAAGCCCTCATGCTGTGGGACTTCTGTGTAGAACATTCAATGCATCTGCAAGTGTTGTACCTCCCCAGGGTAGAGAATGAGCTGGTGGATCACCTCAGCAGGTCGTTTCACACCCACGAGTGGTTCCTTCACCCGGAAGTCACGTTCTCAATCTTCCAGAGGTGGGGCTTTCCCCAGATAGACCTATTCGCCACACAACACAACAGGAAGTGCCAGCAGTTCTGCTCCTTCCAGAATCACAGCCTGGGCTCCAGAGCGGACACGTTCCTCCTTCCATGGAGAAGCCATCTCCTTTACGCCCATACCACTAGTTCAGAAGGTACTCCTCAAGATCCGGAGGGAACGAGCTCAGGTCATATTGATAGCACCAGCCTGGCCCCATCAGCAGTAGTACATATCTCTCCTAGACATGTCCGTGGAAGCCCCAGTCACTGTTCCACTCTTCCCGGACCTTCTGACGCAAGATCATGGTCGTCTTCAACATCCGAACCTCAAGTCGCTTCACCTCATGGCGTGGAAGCTCCATGGTTGAACCCGATGGAGCTTTCCTTTTCAGACCAGGTTAGACAAGTCCTCCTTGGTAGCAGGAAACCCTCTATGAGAGCCACCTACCTTGCCAAGTGGAAGAGATTTTCAATCTGGTCTATACAGTGCCATTTGTCCCCCGACGTTAGCCTCAGTGCTGCTCATTCTGAACTACTTCCTCCATCAAAAGCAGCAGGGGCTTTTGTTGTCTTCAATAAGGGTGCACTTAGATGCTATTTCGGCCTTCCATCTGGGCGTGGGGGGCTGCTCGGTGTCCGCTAACCCTATGGTCAGCCGATTTTTAAAAGGACGACAGACTGTACCCTCACTTCCATCAGCATGTCCCCACCTGGGACCTTAACCTGGTCCTCTCTAGGCTCATGGGACCACCATTTGAACCATTGGCAACATGTTCCATGCTCTACCTCTCTTACAAGGTGGCATTCCTGGTAGCAATAACCTCAGCCAGGAGGGTGTCTGAGCTCAGGGCCCTAACGTCAGAGCCTCCCTACACCTTGTTCTATAAGGACAAGGTTCAGCTGAGGCCTCATCCTGCTTTCCTCCCAAAGGTTGTATCGCAGTTTCACATTAACCAGGACATCTTTCTCCCAGTATTCTACCCTAAGCCTCATTCCAGTGGCAGGGAACAGAGACTGTACTCTCTGGATGTCTGCAGGGCTCTAGCCTTCTACATGGAGAGAACAAAGCCGTTCAGAAAGTCGGTCCAGTTATTTGTGGCAGTGGTGGACAGAATGAAAGGTCAGCCGATATTGTCACAACACATCTCGTCATGGATAGTGTCCTGTATTCGTGAATGCTACAACCTGGTGGGGGTTCCTGCATCTCCAATCACTGCGCACTCCACCAGGACGCAGGATTCATCAACAGTGTTCCTGGCTCAGGTTCCCACTCAGGAAATCTGCAGAGCGGCGACGTAGTCCTCCATCCATACTTTTGTCACCCACTATGCAATTACCGAGCAGGCCAGAGATGATGTGGCCTTCGGACAAGCAGCGCTTCAATCAGTGGAAGACTCCGACCCTATCACCTAAACTTGGGCTTGTGAGTCACCTGATTGGAATCAACATGAACAAGCACTCAAAGAAGAAAAAATGGTTACTCACCTTCTCATAACTGTTGTTCTTCAGGGCTCTATATTGAGCGTCATGAAGGCGCGACTCCAGGGGGCACCCAGATCGACCTGACAGATGCTGCTAGGGGGAAAATCTTCCGGCTACCATGAACATGCGCACGTGCACACCTGATTGTAATGGACATGAACAACACATCTCAAAGAACAACAGTTATGAGAAGGTGAGTAACCATTTTTTATGAGGAAAGGATGAGGGAACTGGGCTTATTTAGTCTGCAGAAGAGAAGAGTGAGGGGGGATTTGATAGCAGCCTTCAACTACCTGAAGGGGGATTCCAGAGGGGATGGAGCTCGGCTGTTCTCAGTGGTGACAGATGACAGAACAAGAAACAATGGTCTCAAGTTGCAGTGAGGGAGGTCTAGGTTGGATATTAGGAAAAAACTATTTCACTAGAAGAGTGGTGAAGCACTGGAATGGGTTACCTAGGGACGTGGTGGAATCTCCATCCTTAGAGGTTTTTAAGGCCTGGCTTGACAAAGCCCT